ATGTATGTGTAACACTTCAGTCGCAAGACAGATTTCAAAAACTTTGGAGCCCACAAATGTGTATGACTCGTTGGCTATCCAGGTCCTTCTGGGAGGCTTCAGCCCAGCGCCCCATAGCCTCTGTATTTTCTGATACGATTTGTTCTTTTACGAGAAAATCGAATTCACAAATGCAAATGCATGAAGACCACAAATGAGTACCTTGATCTTTGTGCTTGCAGTGACAGACAGCTGACATAACACTGGGTGGCGGAGAAGCATCTTTGGTATTAACAATATTGCACAGGGCTCACTCCGTATAGTTTTCGTATACTCCGTATAGCTATTGGTGCCGCGTAACAACTGTTTCGGCCTTTGCCCTGTCCTTCTATCTGCAAAGCCGCTTTGCACTATCACCTAGTTACCGTATCGCTCGATATATAGGCAACAGGAAACCTGCTGGCAGCTATACCGATCCACGTAGAGGGGTTCTCTGCGCAATGACTCAATCTCTAAATATATATACACACCCGTAGACATACACGTACACCTGAAGTCTACAGCGGTTGTAAAGGCGAACCTCGAGGAGCACAGCTATCGCGGCCAAATTGACGACAACGCCTGGTCGTTTTCGGTTGTCTCTTTTGTGAAACAGCAGCCTCTAGTAAACACAGTGGCCTGAATTTCCGGCCGATTGTCTGTTGTCACCTGACATCAGCCAGTCAATGGAAGGAGGTGGGCGCTACATCAATGGCCCCTTTTTCGGCCTCCCAGCTCCCAAGGGCTTCAATTCAAGAGAATGAAACGACGGCACGCGTAAAAGTAATTCACTTCAGGTGAATGACGGCGTCTGCGGAGCTAGGCTCGGTAAATAATAAGGCTGGCGCAACCGATAGAAACTGAGTATAAACCTTATGGATAACATACAGGTGGAGATAACTGTTTTGATATTTCAATTGCAGACTGGTAAAGGTTGTGTGGATAAGCTGGGCTACTTATACAATGTGCTTACTAGATGTTTAATACCATTTGCTATATCACTGAAGGTAAATAAATCTCAGTATTGAACGTCTATAGGAAGCATTTATAATTCCTAGACCTCAGGTTGACCGAAGCTTACAGCCGGTTATACGTTAAGCACTGTCATAACCCCTGGTCCTAAATTCGTCCGCTAAGCAGCCGCTTCTGCTAGCATTGTAGTTGCTATTAAACGACCACTATTATTTTGAACACCGTGAAAAAAACCCATAGAGATTGTTTTTATTATGCGCATTTGTCGGCCGCACAGTCGTATCGGTTAGTGGTTGCTTCTTATTGACTCAAGTTCAACAGCAAACTAGAATCATGCCCCTTGAATCTATGCCTTCCTTACTCCATACTGTTCCCATTCGTATTTGTGCTCAGGCGCACGTTAGACTACCGAATCACTTGATATCGTCCATTGCGCGTCGGCTTCACCTTGTTTGTCTTTGTAAACATTAGCTTTATCTTTTGACTGCTCTCAACATGATGAATTTTTCACAAAGATTCAGCATCGCTACTCATGAACATCACTTCAGCAAAAGCCTGGGCATATGATAACCATTGCAATCCGGGTTTCAGCTTCTGTATCACTATCTCGATTCCGTTTGTTACTGTCGTCTTATTTGATGGACTAAAATAAATCAAAATGGAACGAATAGACGATATGCTCGTTCGTTAGTAAAGCTGTTTTCCCCACTCCCACTGCTTCCAGTCCCACGAAACGAAAGAGGACAGAAACGGTGGCATTTAGCGTTATGTTTTATGTTATCTGCGGTGTATAGGCGCTCCTGCACTCTTGTCCACAGCGGGATGGCCTGGGAATCCCGACGGATTCCTATACCTCAGCAGAAAGTGATTGGGTTCGGATGCTATTGAGACATGATGTTACTTGATATGTAGTAAGCATTTTGGGTTCCTACGGCCAATTGGCGCTCAATGCTTCTGTGCCCCTAGAAGCCAACGAGTCTCATTGACGGTTAACATGTTAATGGCTGCCATGGCTAACATCTGCTGTCCAGAGGGACCTTAATATTCAATTGAATCTGCGACTGCAACGAAACAACGTTTGTTTCCATTCCGAAGATGGCTTTTCGTTATTGCAGTACTTGTGGCCGCCGTTTAAAGCTGCGCCTATTGGAATATACTAGCTGGTATCTACTCCACTTAGGTTAAAGGACTAGCTTAAAAAGTCTAATCGATTGCTTACCTGAAAGTTCGTATAGATACTGTAATATAAACAAAATCGATTGGCCAAGTATGTCGTCATATTATCTACTACTAAAAAACCTGTACAGGTACTTCACGTCTCATATAATCACTTCCAAACAAAGCAATTTAGTATATTGTGGTTTATCGATTAATAATGCACTATTGGTAATTACTAGAGTAATTTGGGTTAGTCGTTATAGATGTTTTTTTTTCTAAGCAAACAATCGATTTGTTTTTGGATCAGACCTTTGTGCTTCGTGCCACAATAGGAACCAACGTGGACGATCAGAGGAAAAAATGTTAAACCACTTTTCTACATGGCTAGAGCCGGATTGGCGGGTAAAGTAACTATTACTACTGCCGTCTTAATTACCGGTGGAACTAACGAAATGATGCGCAGTTAAGATAATTAAGGACATATATTTAATAAACACGTTTCAACACATCGTATTTTGAGGAGAATGACCCGTGTAGGGGAAAATTAATGTACGTCGAGGTTGGATTTGCTTTATATCATAAACAAATCTTAGGAAGATTATTTCTGTTCAAGTATATATAACAAGTATAACAAGTTCCCGCAAGCAAATGCTACTTTCGAAGCCCGTAAACTCCAGCGTCTGATAACATAAAAATAGTTTTTTCTAAATTTATCGAATATACCATCAAAAACTTATCCTTATTTACTTCATCGCTGTGTGGTAAATGGTACTTGAAATGTACAATGACTCGACAGGAACTTTTGATATACTGACTTAAATTTTAGCATTCAATTGAATTATTTGTAGCGGAAAAGACAGTCATCCGTTAACTTGGTGACTCTCAGTGCTTCGTGCGTGACGCCGACATCGAATGCTCGGCAAGATCTGTACCACACTGCCCTATTTGTAGCTGGCCCAAGCAGGACATGAAGTGGCTAAGATCCATTTTGCCCATTTGTCTACTGTGGTCTAGTAGGCCCGGAAGTGATTCTCCACAATAGTCTGCCAAATTGAAATTCGGTTGTTAGTTATTAATATAACTAGAGTTATATTGTTCTCTGAAGCTTCAAGTATCTGCATGGAGTAATGTAGCCCTTATTTATCACGTATGTTTTTCTTATTATGACTACGCAAAAAATCTATCCCTTGGTATCTGTTCTCATTTCCAGACAATTTAATTATTTAGCCTCCAGGGGCTCTACCGTTCAGGACTTTACTATAATTACATTTAGCTTGAAGTATATAACTAAAGCAACAGATACGCTCGTCTCTGAGCTAGACGGTCATAGTAATTACGGAGGAGTAACATAATAGCGAATATCGAGCAGGCCTAATAGGCAAGAGACTCTAAGTAAAATACGCCCAATCGTCTCATAAATGTTGTTAGGGGCAGAAAATCGTTTTGATGCCACTCTTCAACTTGTCCTGGATTTGTAGTTTATCCACCGCGTCTGCATAACAGGAGAATTTCATCAGCAACAGCTGGCATTTGACGTATTACCAACGTTGATCGCTAAATGTTTTCGGCTGATACTATGAATAGGTTTTTCAAATGAAGAAAACGCAACTACCCATAGTAAGGACTCAGGACAATTAGAGCTTGCAAACAGGGAAAGAAACAGACGAAGCTGAACAAAAAGGATAACACTAACAAACAACAGCGTTCCTTATGAGTTGGAGAGAGAACTAAAAGTTAAAGTAAACCATAAAAACGAAACATACATTTCCACTGGCGTGTCGTGAATCGCAATATATATTGGGATCGATAGGCGAGACGAATCATCTTCCACTGCTGCCTGTGGAATCGACGAGACGCTGCCCTCTGCGAGTTTGATCGGTTCCTAGTACAATCTTTTTCGGTCCATCACATACATGAAGGAACCCGTTGTAGGTACGTAAACAGAGATGACTTTTCGGTTTTCTTTGCTGCCATTTGCCGAATCTTCGTCAAAAGAATCAGGCAAGAAGTGGCCATAAATCTCTTCTAAGTAATTTAGCCATGCTTCTTAAGGCTACACTCATACATCCGGCACAATGGTCGGTAACTGTAATTAAATATTGCGGTGGAATTGGTAGAATATATTTTGCTTAAAGCATGGGCTGATTTCACATACCTTGTTCTATGTAAGGCCAATGAAAATATTCTATACAAAAATAGAGGGAAAAAATTCAAAAATAGGGGAGCTGTCCGTGGGAAACTTGTACACTCAAAAGGATCCATTTGCCAAGGTCTGCGTCCTCCATTGACAAACAAGGCCTGCAAGGGAAACGTCAATGGAACTTCTGCATTTGACGACGTCGACAAAACACGTTTCGGGCTTTAGTTGATGGCTTTGTAGTAGAGCCATAGGCGGTGAAATTTTTCAGGCTGAACGTTGAAGGAACATTATGTTCTTCTATATCATAGAGGTTACGGCGCTCTGATAACTGATATCTCTAGGGGTATCTGAAGGCCGTTCATAAAATTGGTGACGATGTCGCTTCGGAACCCAGTTGAAGCTCAAAGGTCACGTGCAGCTTTTAAGGAATTGTTCACAGTTAGCCGTCCACTGAATGTCTCTCACTCAACGGCATCATTCCTAAATTTCATAAATCGCCATATCGAAATGACTGTCGTAGTATTTTTAAGAGACTATTTTGGCAAATCAACGTAGACTTTTAGTTTGCTTTCGTTTTAGGCGCTATCAAACTGCGTATTAAGCGTACTGCCTTTCTGTTCTTAACGATTGTTTATATATGCATGTTTGTAATGTTGAGTGAGCTTTTCTACTTTGTGGTAGCTTTCCGGTTGACTTATTTGGCCTCTTACAGTGGGCGTTGACGAGCGTGAGGGTAGCACGGGACTCGTGTGTTTTTGTCCGGAGGACCTTGACCTTGAAGGCCCATTCAACATGCTTCTCCGGAGTGTTTCATATGGAGTGTTGGGACTTGGTTGGATATTATTGCGTGCCTATTTGCTTGTGTTCGCTTCCCAGGGAACTCTCGAATCCCTCAAGATCTTCTCGTTCAGTTCCCATGCTCCGGCGGAAGTCCTCTGCGATGACACCTTTCTCGTAAGTACTAATTTTTTACATTATTGACCTTATGATATGGCATTTTTAAGCATGAGTATCAGAAACACGTTTGTTCTTCCTTAAATTTTTAGGCAGTGTACGTCAGTGTCTTATAACAAAGAAGCCATAGCGAAATAAAGATCTTAGCTATATGCCCTAAAATTGATTTATTTCCTCATTTAGGCGAATATTGTGTAAATAGGAATTTCTTTAATTTATCTAAAACGTAAGAAGTATATTAAATATGTTTAGTAATGATAGGTTGATTTGAATCTAAATTAGCCCTAATATAAGAATTATAGAACTATTTAAAATTACAACAGGAGCCTCATTATCTCACGCAGTATGCAAATTAGTGTATACGATATTTTAAGAAGTGAAGAAACCTCTGTTTGTCATACAAAAATCGATTTTGAGAAGCACTGGAAAAAATTTTAAATTAAACAAGAAAAGGCCTACCCGAAATTCGTATATAGCATCAGGCCCGCATGGCTACGTACCCAAACCTAGAAGTAATAGAAAACACAAGTTTTTGACAGGATTATTTACTTTAGAGCGCCTATTCTAATCGATTAAGATGTCGGTGACCAGGACTATCATCTACGTATCCTAGAGGCTGTTACTCACCTACCGACTACGAAATAAAAGGCTTGATCTTTGGCCCCGTACTGCCTAGTAAAGCACAGGAGCTACCATGTTTATGGAAGTCTCAACATAAATTTAAGGCATATGCAAGCTTATCACAAGGTGGCATTTATACTCGAAATGTCCAGTGTAATTCGTCATGTCTTGTATAATGCAAGGTAACGCGGGAAAATCTAGCAGAACTATAGGACGGAGCGTTGTTAATTGCTCTATTTTTCTTAATTATCTTAATTAATCCAGTGTTAGTTTTCAATACACAGAATTTTCTTTAGGTGCTTTGTTTTTCCATCTCACTTCGTCACACGTCGATTACGGATCAGCATTTTTCTTTGGGGCTAGATAAAAAAAAAGACTTTCAAGAAGCACTAGGAAAAGTACTATAAAATAGCTCTGAATCAGGCTGTGAATGGCGCCAGACGTTAACTTGTTTAATACGCTACGTGAATCCGATGCTATTAGAGCACAGAGAAACGCGGCGGAAACATGATAACGGCTTCAGAAACGGTCTGAACTTTACATTTTGATGATACAATACATCAAAATACAGATTATACATTTTCGATAGAAAATCCTTATTTGTGAATCTAGTTATACACTGAGTCAAATAAGTGTAAGAGTCATAACATAGTTCTGAGATTATTATCACTATTATATTAAGTGCTGAACCACTCTGAACCTCTGAGCCTTTTTTGATGGGATCAGCGTTTGGAATTGGGTTAAACAACTGATTATTACCTTCACTAAGCAGAGATTTCCTGCGCCCTGGTGCGTTGCCGTACAAGATTAGATCGATTGCGGAAAGGTAAACAAGAAAAAAAAAACTATCATAATGTTCCGACAACGTTCGACAAAGAAATATTATACGCCAATCAAATCTCGGCTTCAGTACGCATTTCTAACACATATAATTGTACCCGACGACCAATGATACGTCTATCTGTCTATCTACATTATACGTAAAACACGCATCGACTCCTTCGTGCTTCAGGCAGCTGCCTAAATTTTCCACTTGATCAATAGTATTCCCAGAGATTCCCAGTATGTTTTTAGGACTATTGTCCTAAGTAATATAATTCATTGTAGCTTCCTGTTCTTTCGAAGTGGAGCAATTGTTTCTGACAGATTTTTACAAGCGTAGCCAATGTGAAACCGTAATGTCCGAGTTCGACAGGAAGACGTATCCAAAGTATACATTGAATGATTGTACGGTCACAAATGACTAACTATCCACTGCACAGAATTTAGATAATTTGAAGCCATTTGTAGAGGCTTTACTTGTATAATATCCGGTCACCAAAGGACGTCATCTGCCATTCCTTCTCCACCCATTCAAAACAGCATAAGCAGCTGACTTAAAACCTAACAACGGTGAGCATGCTTATGAAGACAGTGAAGCCCTGCAGCTTTCATTCAAATGCTTAATTCTTATTCCTATATTTTCTTCATAAAATGAAGCGAACGTGTTGTGTATGCGATTTATAGGGAGACAAGGAAGACGACGGAGTGCAAAGACCTGTTGGATAACCTTGTAACCTGCTATGTGCATCATTTTTTCCCGTAATATTTCTATGAAACAAATGTCATTGCGGTAACTTTTCCCATTGACATTTACTGATATATCGTTTGAACAACTTTAGCGATGTCAATATGCACTAGGTTATGCTGAGTGCTAGGTTATGCCATTGTTGCCATTTTTATTTAGTTTTTTCGTGCTTCTGACTTCAGAAGTCTCAATCCTGAGAAGGTTGTCCTACGAGACGTCTATGCAGTTCGTCAGTAGGTTCTCTTTTTTTCACTCCTTGTGCGGCCGTAACGACGGTCCTCGTGAACCTTTTGACTGGCTGCTGTCCTTTATTATATCTACGATGCTTTTTTTTCGGTGCAGTGCTACACCAATAGTTTCTGCGTGTAACCCCATCAGTGTACCTAGTGCTTCACGCTGATCCGTTCGATGCTTCGTTCAGCTTGATGTGGAATGGCAACGTTGCTTTTACTGGCTGGCTACTGCACCGGTATGGACAGATGAGACTCGGACGTTAGTATGGGGCGAGCTCGATGTTGGTTGAAGTTTGACTGAATGGAGCGGGGGTTTCACGGAGGCTTTAGAGCAATGCTGTAAACTTTGGCGCTATGTGCAAACGGCACCGCAGCATGCTGCGTTCGTGATAGCGCGCGAGCCTTCTCAGGGTGTTTGCCCGAGGGTTTCTTTGCGTTAGAGCCCGCAGACAAGCTTCGCTCATCGTACGATAGCCCCGTCGGCCAAGCCATGGCCGCTGGTGTCGCTTCATTCCACCTGCCTTGAGGCCTGGCTGAGCAGCACCCCACATACGTATTACAACGAACGCTCAACTGGCTCCATACCCCTCTGCTACGCGACTTGAATATGAAACATTTTGTGAAATAGACCCGCGTGCGGAATTCCTGCCGCCAGGAATAGGGGCACTTGCTCGAAACCACTTATCTTTTCAACAGCCACGAAACAAAACGAATGAAAAGCGAGCGTGGGCGACTACATGAAAAGAAGGCAAGGGCAAACAATGAAAAGGATTGCGTAGCTTGCCCATATCTAAACTATCACTTTGAGCTTGTTACATGCTTAGGAAAATGGACAGCTTTAGGTAACGGCATTCAACTATGGGGAGAGAGCAGTTTTTAGAGAAAGTTTAACTTACATCTCAGCGAATACAAACATCGAGTCCTCATTTACATTTTAGAACAAAAATGAAGCGAAACATTATTATTGGAAGAACTAAAGATAACAAACGGATGGATCTACAGTGCTCACCATAAAGCACCTAAAGACACTTCACTATATAGTGGAGAAGTAGTTGCCACAAGCCGAAACTCTTTTATTTTGTATATTGTTTTTTTGGGACTCTAAGTTGTCTTTTCATAAACAAGTCTGAAAATCATGTTCTTTAATCATCAAAGGATTGCCCGCATTAGTACTCTGACCGCAGCGGGTCTTTCTGAACTTAGCCAGCGTTTCTCCAACATATTTATAAAACGATACGCTAACCAAACAACTAGCTAATGGTTTTAACGTTTTATTTTTTTCGATTTCTTCTTTTCCGGGCCTTCTCATTTCTAGTAAACATTTTCTCAACGCTGAGATTCGAACCACCGTACTCGCTAATTAGAGTTACCATGGCAACGCACGCATACTACGCGCGTTAGTCGCCCCCCTACGACGATACCTAATGAGTATAATTACAAACAGTTCTTAAATCCTGAAAACGAATACGCCATGTTTATCGCAGTCGGAATAACACTAAGTTATTTATCTACTCCATTCAAGATTATTGTATGTTTTTATATCAAAGTTATAAAATAAAGTTATTGTTTTATAATTGAACGTTAATTTTCGATAACCCTTAAATATGTACATTTGTAAACACATTTTGCAAGTTGACCACTGACGGTAGGTTCAGTAATAATAATAATAATAATAATAATAATAATAATAATAAAAGGCAACACTCTAATACGCCTTGACAATCAAATGGTATCTATCTGCTAGCAGAGCATTTTTTTGTGGCCTGTTTAGCAGGTAGTTTGCTTCATCCATCCCCAATTGCCGGAAAGGCTTGTCACGGCTCTTTTTAGGTTTGCAGTTGAAATAGGACAAAACACTAATGAAAAGATACGCCACACTCTTTCTCCTGTTGAGTTCTGCTCATTCTCGATTCAACCAATTGGCCATAAACGGCGAAGTTGAATTAAAAGGGCTCTCGAAGGCTATCTGATTAGCAGCTCAGCTTGTGAGTTGACACAAAAACCTCCCACGCGGTTTCGACCTCCACGGAAACGTTTCCCCACGATAACAACACCGTAAAATGCACACCGACCACAGGAAACAACGTCGGAATTTTATCTATGATAACACACAGCCAACATGATCATCAAGCAGGTTTTCATCGTTCGGCCAACACTTCATTCACGCAATACTATTGTACTTTGGAACTAGTTCCGTCTAGTCTTGGAACCTACAATACAAGTCAGTGGTGCGCCCACGCAGCGTGCTCGTTTCACTTCTCACACCTTCACTTTATAGTGAAGACGTTTCTTGATTCGATTTTTCCAGTACCCGATCAATATACCGCGCAGCCACTACGACGCTCAAGTTGAACTGCGCGTTGCAGATCTACTACTTTATGGTTGCTGGATATTACGATCGACACTCGAAGCTATTGGACAGGGTTTAGTAAGCTTTAATGTCAGTTCATTGTGAATCACTTACGATACCTCTCACTGCATCGCCGTCAATTGTATGGGTACTCAGCCGTAGTTAGATCGTAGTCAGTTTCAGGAAAAGGATCCAGTAATCTTTACTCCTAATTCGGAATACGATTGGT